CCCGCGCGCCCCCGGCCGGGAGGAACAACCGCGCCGCGTTAAACGCCCGTCCCTTGGGGAGCTGTGCCCTGCCCGGCACCGCGCGCTCGGGTCCCCGCGCTCGGGGCTCGGCCCGGCTCTGCCCCCGCGGGGCTCCCAAGTTCTGTCCCGTTCCCGCAGGACCGCCCTGAGCCACCCCGAGTCGCGGGCTGCGGGTGCGTGTGAGCGGGAGCTCTGGCGTGTCCTGTGCCGCGCCTGGCGGGCGGCTGCACGGGAGGGAACGGCCGAGCCCTTTCTGGGGATAAAGGCGAGGGAAGAAGGGAGCGCGTTGGGAAAGGTCAGCCCTGCTCCTTCGGAAACACCTTCCAGTGCACCGCTTGTGCCTAACTTGAGCAACGTTTTCCTTTGTACAGCCCCTTTTCCATTAGCTTGCAACACTAAATTGAGCTTTAATTATCCACACAGAAATTTTCCATTCTAATTGTCTGTCTCTGATTGACTTCAAGACACTGAAGTAAAGGGAAAGAAACTGATTAGAAAAACCAATTCTTCTCATAGAAGGAATGGGATTGAAAAAAACCCCAATTTTCATGTGAGAATTTCTGTTCTACTTAAAAACATTAAGGAATTCACAACCCAAAAACTACCCTGAGGAATGGCCTTGGAAGGTGGCAAACCCAAACCCTCGTGAGCTGGGCCGTGCTGGTTTGTGGAGCTTGGGGCTGACTGTAAAGTGCTCCTGTGCCCCAGTCAGGGTGATATCTTGTCCTTGCTCAGCGTGTGGCTGGTGGCCTCACGTACTGCACGCTCATCAGATCCTCCTCTGCACATGGAAGGAGTCATTTCCTCCTGGGCTTTGCCATGAACTCATTCCTGTGTTATCTGAATTCCTCACCACATAATGAGGGTATCATCATCATGCAGGAGCAGCAGGGGTAGATAAGGTGTAGATGTGGATAAAGCCTGGCCACAGGAACTCACCTGGGACCTTCAGGCAGGAGTAGCTCATGGAGGGACGAGCTTCATTTCTCCTGGAGTTTCTCAGCTGCTTTCCAATCACCCATCTTCTCTGCAAACCACCTCACTCACCCCTCCCTGCAATGAATGGAGAAGTTTTAGCACCAGGAATGGCTCCCATCAGCCAGCCTGCTTCCCCAGAGCACTGCCCGGGCTGTGTGCTGAGCTCAGCCTGTGGAACAGCACCGTGAATCACACAGTGCTCGTGGCCTTGGGGAGCTCAGACAGAGCTACTCTGGGGCAGACCAAACCTGACATCTCACAAGTTCTTCCCTTTGTAACCTGGATGTGTTCGGGTATAATTTGCATGTGTTGTGTTGAGTGTATATGTCACATCCAAAAATCGTGCTGGTCTGATCCCAGCAGAGGAGGCGAGGATGGCTCAGCACCTGGCAAACACAGCTGGAGAGCAGCAGCAGAGCCCCTGTGGGACACACACAGCTCATGCTGGCTGTGCTGTGCCTGCTGCAGGACTGTCACTCTGCAGGTGACACTGAAAAGGCAGGACATCCCCACAGCAAGGTGATGTGATGTGTGGCTGGGGGGAGATCACCTTCCAGCCAGGTACAGTGACATTTGCAGTGCTTATCTGATCACAGAACCACAGAACCACAGAGTCACAGAATATCCTGGGCTGGAAGGGACCCACAAGGGTCATGGAGTCCAAACCTCAGCCCTGCACAGGACCATCCCCCAGAGTCACACCACGTGCCTGAGAGTATCATCCAGATGCTTCTTGAGCCCTGTCAGTGCTGTGACCACTGCCCTGGGGAGTTCATTCCTCCTCCAACCACCTCTCTCTGTGTGTAATCCTACAAACCACTTGGGCTTCCTGTGCTCTCCAGACGGACTCAGATAGAAGGAGGAATTGCTATTCTGCCATCAAACCTGCTGTACAAACTGCACTGCTTACCACGGGACCTGCCCAGCACAGAGACCTCCTGGCTCTGTGCCCTGCAGGGTTTTAGAGGGTGAGACAAAACAACAGAAAGAAAAAAGGAGTCACTAGAGGAGTATATGGCCATGCAAGAGGCAGTGCTTTAATAGAGGGTACTTGATCAAACACAGCTTTTGAATAGCTTAGTCCTGTACTGGGTTAATGCTTTAGCAGGAGGCAAAACATTCCTTTTCCTGCCTGCTTGCATCTTTTGCAACACTCTAATCTCCAAGGAGAGTTGTTTGTTTTGAAACCTTGAGCTCTGTGGGCTCTCAACTGCTAAGCTGGCTCCTGGCTTTGGCAGCTCAAAGTATAAATCAGTGCCATTAAACATTCATATCAGAGTGATATTTCCTGATTAAATTCATTTATTGCAAGAGTTTTTGGACCTGGCCAATGCAGCAGCTTGGGTACACATCCAAAATCCATCAACTGTGTATTCATGTACCTCTGTAGGATTACATGGAGAGGTTTTTGCTGAATCATTTGACCCTGTTACTGGGGACAGCGATAAACCAGAACACTTAGATTGTCTGGGTTGACATCGGGAACATTTTAGGGACAGCGTTTAAAACTTTGCACACGTGCTAGAAGTACCAAGAGGTCCAATTTCTATCCTGTTAAGCCCACACGAGGGAAGAGCAGGCACTGGGCATTTTATCTTCTTATCTGTGTATTATTTCCTGTTTAGTCAGTCCTTTAGATGGCATTGGATGATACTCAGATGGTACAGATATTGATCTCTTCTATGTTGTGGCTGTAGTTGGAAATCCCTCTGAAACACTCAGGTGAATTTGGATAGCACCTTAATCACAGAGCTGGGTTGTTGTACTCAGTAAATGCCTTTCTTTGTTTTCAGGGTTATTGATGGCATTTTATAAAGTTTGAATGGGCTTAGATTTATTTAGATAAAATGATGATGATATTCATATATAGACAGTGCAGGAAAAACCCAGCAGTGGTTATGGCACTCATCATCTTTCCTTATATCTGCCCTTCTGCCCCCCAAAAACAGACAAGATTTGAAAGGAGATGAGAATTGCCATTTGAGGATGACCCTGTCTTACAATGCCACAAGGATCACCTGATGTCCTACACGTGTCCTATAACAGGGACGTGATGGATGTTTAAGCAAAGCCCACTTCAGCTGTGCAGATGTGGAAGAATAACTGCAATAGTGCTGGAGACCTGACAATTGCCTTCCTCTGCTTGTTTCCTCTCTGGCTGTGCAGCAAAACAGCTCCTCCGTGCTCAAACCATCCTCAGCATTTCTGCGGCCCTCGGCCAGCAGTGAGTTCAGCTCTCTGGCAATATTCATCTCTGTGACTTTTCCCCCAGCTCAGAAATGACTCTCATTCATTTCCTGACTTTTCCGAGGTCACAGAGTCCCTGTGAACCAGGGATCACCACGAGTGCTGTGCGGGGACTGAGCTCTGTGTTCTGTACCCGGATCAAAAACTCCCAGGATCCGTCTGCCCCAGTTGGGCTCCACGACTCGGCTTCCAGCACATGGGAATTTTGCTCTTCCCCTACTCTGAATGAGCAACTTTTCACTTCAGGCCACTGAATAATCCATCTGGAGTCGTTGGAATACGTGACTGCCTAAAATTGTATCTCCTGCTTAAATGCTTTGTTGCTCAGGGCCTAAATTATGACTGAATGTAAATGATTAAATGAGTGTTAATTTTCCCTTTTCAAGCTTCACACCAAATAAGAAATCCCCCCAACTGTGCTAACATGAAAGCGGGAGTTTATCTCAATATTTTCATTTTGAAATTCAAGTACTGAATGCAGAAAAACCCACAAGGGTGAAAATAATTAGTGCTGTTTCCTACTGAACTATTCTGACTTTCTCTGTAATCCTTTTATTTAGGGTTTTAATGATGAAGAAATTCTTACTGTAAATATTTAATCATGGAGAGTGGTGAAGCAGGACGTGTGTGATGAATGGGTCCCACAGATCTGCTGAGATGGCTGAAAACTCCCGTTTCTCTGCAGCAGCACCTGAACCCACCCTCGGGCAGTGCTGGGATCACAAGGCCTCTAACACTCTCCAGATTCCTCCTGGTTTTACCCACTAATCCCTGTACTGGTCCAGTAACTTCAGCACGACATAAGGACAGTTTTTATTATGCAGATAATTCATAATTCATTATATTTCTACTAGAAGGGCACATGCTGCTGCAGACGAGCCTTAGAGAGATGGGCCCAGGGAAGGTGACTGAAGAGCTCCCCTGGGATTCCCAAACGCTTGTTGTGCTCCTGGGGCTCACACCCTGGGCTGGCTTTTCAGGGCACGCTGCTGAATCCCGTGGTCTTCACGTGTGCAAGCCAAGCGTGTGCCCAGGTCCGGGTTTGAGTTCTGGATGGGGCCCTGTGGAAGTGCCAGGGGGTATCAGCTGTGCAGCTCTCTCAGCAGGTGAGAACCTGACCCTGTGTTGTTTGCCCCAGGAATGGACTGCAGGCAGCTGCAGGACGTGCTGCTGGAACTGCTGAGGAACAGGGAGGGAAAGGTCCATCCAAAGTCCAGAGGCTGCATGCTGAGGTCTCCCAGGTTTGGAGCAATGGCTGACCGAGACACCAACACTGAACACATCACCCCAGCCTGCTGCAAACGATGGTCTGTGAAAAAATATCCGCTCGGAATGAGAGAATCTAATCCACGAAATACGCAGAGAAACACGAGTCTTTTCCGTGGAGAACTGGATTGGCCTCTGCGTGGCTTCGAGTCCCCCTTTACCTGCATTAAACCCGTGCCAAGTGATGAACCCCGGACACGAGAGCTGCCCAGCGGTTTGAGCCCAGCGGGCTCCGCTGCGCACACGAACCCTCGGGATCGCGCTGTTCCCCCGCCCGGGCGGTGTGCGGGGTCTGTGTGCGGGGTCTGTGTGCGGGGTCTGTGTGCGGAGTCGGTGTTCGGGGTCTGTGTTCGGGGTCGGTGTTCGGGGTCAGTGTTTGGGGTCGGTGTGCGGGGTCGGTGTTCGGGGTCGCCCCGAGCCCCGGGGCCGCCGAGCCCGGCAGGTCCGGCAGCCGCCGGCAGAGGGAGCTCCGCGCCGCCGCATCCCGGCCCCGATCCCGCAGCGATCCCGCAGCATCCCGGCCCCGATCCTGCCGCATCCCGGCCCAGCGATCCCGCCGCATCCCGGCCCGGCGATCCCGCAGCGATCCCGCCGCAGTCCCGGCCCCGATCCCGCAGTGATCCCGCAGCGATCCCGCCGCAGTCCCGGCAGCAGCAGCGGCACAGCCGGTGTGTGCAAACCGCGCGGGGTGTTTGCGGACCTTCCCAAAACGCCGGTGTTAAACTCGCAGCCCAGCGGGCGGGCGATAATTAGCTGCAACAGCTAATGAGCAATGGCAATGAGCGTCATGGAAGGAAGGGGTTCTGCTGTTTCTGTGTCAAAGAACAATATCATTTCAACCCAGCAAACGTTTCTGGATGGATCCTCCAGCCTGGCGATCACTTCTGGTGCTGTCCGGACCTTCCTGCAGCAATTCCTGCAGGGTTTGATGGGATATTGGGAAGAAATTCTTCCCTGTAAGGGTGGTGAGGCCCTGGCACAGGTTGTCCATAGAAGCTATGGCTGCCTGGGAGTGTCCAAGACCAGGCTGGACACGGCTTGGAGCAACCTGGGATAGAGGAAGGTGTCTCTGCCCATGGCAGAGGGTGGAACTGGATGAGCTTTGAGGTCCCTCCCAGCCCAAACCCATCTGTGGAGGGAGAGCAGTTTCTATCTCGTGCAGCATTTGCGAGATCTGTACCCCTCACACCAGTCCTTGTCTTTACTGCAGCCCCACTAAGAGCTGTGCAACCCAACCAAAACAGAACATGCTGGAGAAACAGGCAAGTTAAGGATGTGAGAGTTTGGATGGGTGAACCTCATCCCCCTGGACCGTGGAGAGGGATGTGCAATGTGAAACAGGCCTGGATTTTCTGAGCTGGGCGCCCACACACAGAGCTGGTGCTGCTGCTGGGCAGGATGCCCCGTGTTCCTCTCAGGGAAAGGCTGACCTTGCTCCAGGCCCTGCCATCCCTGCCCGGGATCCCTGTCTCCATCTCTCTGGGCCCAAGGGCAAGCAGGGGTGCTGGGGGCAGGGTGCAAAGCACCACGAGCAGCCATCCATCCCCAGCCCTGA